AACGAGCTTACGACAAACACCGCAGCGTCTCCATACTCTCCATTCCAGGCAAGATTCTGGTCAAGGTATTATTCACCTGACTACATCTACATGGTAAAAATGACCTCCTTCCTGAAATTCCTTGAGGTTTACAGAAAGAGTAGGGAACTCTCGCCATAATTGTTACTGCCAGGCAGCTTTAGGTAAAATGCCGGGAACAACACCGAGTTGGATTGTACCCCCGAATTTCATCATCATCGTATCACAATTACACAGTGGCATGCTGGTCAGAGTTCAGGACTATGGCGAGACCCCCACACCATTCTCCGTGTCCCAAGGGGAGTCAAGTCAGGCTTTGTGCTTAGCCCAACCCTATTTTGCCCTGTGTTCTGAGTCAAGCTGAAGGAAACCTTTAAAGACTCTGACACAGGCAGAGTGACCAGGTTTCGCACTGATAGTTTAATCTTCGACCTACCGAGGCTTAAGGGAGACCGAAGGTGACAACAGGTGTAATTAACAGTTGCAACAACTGAAGTCTTAAAATCAGTACCATCAAGACCGAAGTCATGCACCCACCAGCGACTGACTAGAAGTATATAGAGCCAAACATCTCTCACAAAATGGCTACCACAAGAAGCTGTAAACAAGTCCATACACCTGTACAACCCTCTCTGCAGAAAGGTAGTGATCGATGATAAATTTAACACGAGTATAGCCAATGCAAGTGCCATATTTGACAGACTCCAATGGGATGTCTGGAATAGGTGAGGTATCACCAAACGGTTCAAGATCAAAGTGTATGGGGCCATTGTTCGCATCACAATGTAAAAGTTAGACTGGCTTCTGATATGGCAGGGAGCTGAGTCATTTCCACGCCACCAGGCTAAGGAGTCTCCATGATGTCATGAAACAAGACAAGATACCGCACATAGGCCTTGCACAAGCTGAACTGCCAAGCATCCACATCGGCCTATTGCAAGCCCAACTTTGTTGAGCTGAACATGTAGCTTGTATGCTACACTTATGGCTTCTAAAGAAACTGTTACATGATGAGCTACTTCGAGCTACTGCAAAGCAAGTGGTTCCATCTAGGTCAAAAGAAACACTACGAGTACACTCTGGAAGTGTCTAAAACAGCTTTAGCATTAATCCTGACACGTTGGAGGAAATTTCCAACAACAAACGATTTGCGTTCCTTTGGTACACTGTTGTTTAAGAAGAAACTAGTCACAGAGGTCCTCGCCCGTGCTAATCTCTCTAGTATCCACACCATCCTGATGCAGAACCAACTTTGTTGGACAGGCCAAGCAACTTGCAAGCCAGACCGGCACCTTCCAAAGAGACATTTCTATGGCAAGCACCTGTAGGGAGTTAGAAAGAGGAGCTCAAGACACTCTGAGGGCGTTTGAAGGCCACTGACTACAAACCTGAACCGAGAGTACACTGCCCGCGACAGAGGTAAGTTGCCTTTAGCTTTTCACAAGCGCCCACCTATGCATGCCGCCAACAGAACTGGCATAACCAAGAAGCGAGCTCAGGTCAGGGATTCAAGCGCAAACAACACAGCATTTGTGATCATCATCCCTTGCCCAAACTGCCATTGTCTCTTAGAGGATAGGACCAGCCAGCCACCTGAGCACTTATATCAGAAGTTCTTCCCAAGCCAACAAAAAGCAAGTTGGAAATAAAATGTGGATTCTATGTGGAGCACCATTTCGATGCATTATCCAGCTCTTTTATTTTTTCTGTTTGCTGTAAGTCCACTAGTCAATCTGGACTCCATTAACTCAACCCAATTTTTCTTACCTGCCTACTACCATGTTGAACCCTTGGTAATTGAACTGTAGGTTTCTTTTATGTAAAGTAACGTAAACAAAATTGAAGCGATATTTTTTACCACACAACAACCTCTAATCGGTCCGGTGATCCCCATCTCTCTCTTAACGCAAGCCGAAGATGAGGCTATCAAGACAATCTAAGGATTCAAAATAGGTTTTATTTAAGAGTGGGAAAGACGGTTTTTTCCGATGACCAATTAACTTTTCATCATCAACTTTGGAGCAGTTGACTCCAACAGTAGTAAAGACTTAGGCACCGAAAAAAAGGCATTCCTTGACTGCATGTGCCTACTGTTGTACAGTTGCAGAGTATTGTAGTAAAAAAAAGTGTGGTTTAAAATGCAGAGGGGTTAATACACTGCTCATGTCGATTCCAAAATTATGACAAAAGGAGGATTTGCTTAGAACAGAGTTTGTACACTAGTCAAACGACAGGCCAGGAAATAAATAGAATAGGTACATGTATTAAATGTGAATCAAATGTATTTTATTCAAAACTTTATCAGTACGTATGCTCTACGTACCTAGCGCAATGAATATACCTACTCCTCTCGGGTCCGAAGCTATTTTTGTCTTATCTTGTCTTTTTTTTTTCCATTCAATTTATATTCTTGTTCTATGTAAGATATGTTCAGAGTAAAACGAACATGCGCACATTTGACGACGACCATTTTGAAAACCGCAAGGAGTTTGGAAGAAGGTGTTACGAACACCGTAAAATAGTGCCTATCGTCTCCCTAGAGAAAAGGCACAGTCGGAAAAACCATTCATGCGTGGAAGGGTAAGCTAACAATTCAAGGGGGTATGGGGGAAAGGTGATGTTTCTTAGTAGAAGCCTTAACAAATACTGTGATGGAGAAATGGCCGCTGAAGTTGACGAATGCCAGTAAATACTACATCAATGAAGTACTTAGAATGTAAATTGGGATTGCATGAATCTTAATAATATTATTCTGGCTTTATTCTGGCCACACATCAGTAACCTTAACTTACGAGAGTGCTTGGGAAAATGTATGGCTGTGTAGCGTCCAAGTTTGTGACATAAATGTAAAATTAAATCTCATAAAAGTAATTAAATCTCCAAAATTAGTTTGACACAGCTGCCAAGGGCAAGCACAATTTCAACAATGGCTAATTTCACACATGCATTACGTGTACGTTGAAGCTGTTTGACTCATTAAAAAACGACTGGCGTAAGTGATTAACTATAGTGAACTTTGTAATTTGGGATAAAATACGTCAATTGTTTTCGGGATGAAAGGTAACTGAGGAGGCTTTGCCATGATTCATTTTAAGTAATTTGTGGCTTATTATCGAAAACAACTGCAGACTTCTTTAATATAAAACAAAAGCCTGATAACCAGTTAAAAAAAAAGTAGCAGCCCTTCTGGATGCAGTCCACATGTAGTACATTAAAGCCACTAACATGAATGGCCGATGCTATCATTATGGTTGATTAGTGAGATACATCAGCACGAGTGAGTTGTTCAAAGGCTAACCAAACAACACGAGCCCAAGACTTCCAGACCTTTAGCCAGATGTTTGTCCTTTGTCGGGTGCTTTTGTTTATACCGCGATATACCTGTCAATCGATTAAATTTCAACCTTTTTACCTTCAATTTCAAACATTTTGCACTCAATCTCAACTTTCACGCTGTTTGAGATTAATTGACTCGTCTCTGGCCAATGGGCATTTATATTTGTAAAGTCAATATTCATTTAATATCCCGCGTAAATCTTTGTAAATTAACCTGCCAAAATGACCTCTTAGTTCACATTGTGTTATTTCATAAAATATCATAATGAAAGTAAAGCTACTGAACGGGAAAACGTTTGTAAAAGCCGCACATCATTTTCCATACCACATCCGGAACATGAGCAAAAATTCTACTTTAAACGTTTCAACACGTTCATATAATTTTTGAGACTATTCTTACTACAAGGTATAAAAATAACAAAACTATCGACCCATATACAGCTCACCATTTGATTTAGCTCGTTGAGGTTCTGTAACGAAAAAAAAAACCAATAGCCTCAAGAGCACGCGAAACACACGAAAAAGGAAACTACGTCACAAGACCAAAGGCGTGTCATTTCCTGAAACTCTTGTAAAATTGCAACGATGATTACCCACAGTTATACTATTTATCATAAAAATCTTGAAACGTGATTGAACTGTGGACAGGTTGGGCAGTTCCATTTAAGATTGCATTCTCAGATATCAAAGGGAAAACAAAATTTAAGAGAAAAATTGGAACTACGTTTTATAGGAACAAACTGCGAAGAAGCTCTCTTTGCAAATGATTTTTCCCCTACAGTCTATCTAATTCGAAATCCCATACACCAGCGGAGATTGAAGCATTTAGAAAACTACAAAAGAAAAAAAAATCTGGGTTCTATACGGGAGAGACGTTGTATCAAAGCAATATTCATTAACTACAAAAGAAGCCTGCATACAAGCATGCGAGAAGCAAGGATAAAAGAAGAACATGTATTACATTAGTATTGCCGCATTGATTCTCAAACTTTGCTTTCCGTGTGCGCCGTTTTGTAATAAAACTAGATTCCAAACACGTTATTCTCATAAAAAATACGAAGGAAAAAGTTTCCTTGCATCTCTTTTTTACCTATTTTCCAATTATGAGCTATCGCCTTCGAAAAAAATAATTCTAAATCAGCAACAAAACCATCATTAACCAAATGCCATTTTGCTTACGTGCATCTGTACTCCACAGTGGATGATCAGCAACTTCGCCGATCGTGTTCAACGTGATTTTATCCCACACAAGTATTGCACGTAGAAAAAACCAAATACGCACAATGTTTTTACTTTCTGAAAGGACATTTAGGGAAACTATAATTAGTTGTGAAAAAGGAACAGCACGTAGTGTCTAACTCGTACGAAATCCCATCATGCACTTTGGTATCAACAAAAAGGTACCCCGTGAAGCAGTATTAAAATATAGGGAGTGTCCCTCGTTGCAAACTTCATCTTGTTTGTCTGTCTAATGGAGTTTGCTTGGTTTGTTCACACTGGTCACTTTCAAATTTCTTCAGACATACAATAGAATGTGTACCGAAATGACATAATGGCCGACGACTGGTCAGTCGTTTTATTACTTCTACTTTTAGTATCATTATTATAATTACCATTATTTTCTTTTTCAGTTGAAAAGATCTTGTGCTTCTCGAAGCATAAGTTATTTTCTTCGGTTGACCTGATCTGAATTATGAGTTTAATATAAAAAAATCCACTTCTTTTTGTCTGTATTATTCCGAATCAGGCCAACCCTGCTTAAAAATGATGAGAGGGTTGCAGAGGAGCACTCACTAAAAGAATCATCAGCAACCGCCCAGCAAACTGTTCTTAGAGGGAGAAGAAAAAAAAAATAGGCGATAAATTTGCTCCAGAGGGGAATAATTTATCACTGCCTCTGACACTATACGATTATTCAATGCTAAAGCACGCCAAACATTTCTCTTCTTTTAATCGCATTTAGTTTCTCAGTGCGTATCCAGGAGAGATGCAGAGTTCCTTTCGGTGATTAGAAATCATACTCATTCTAAATGATCTCAATCAAAATTATTTTGAAAGCAAAGGGATGAGTCATTGCCCTACTTAATTCATCGAAGCCACAGGCGTCTCAGTTTTAGTTGCTTGAACAACTTGAATTGAATATTGTGGTCAGGGGTCGTCTTGCGTGTCCGCTTGCTGTTTGGTTCTTTGTTTTGTTTAAGTTGTTTTGTTTAAGCAGTTTCTCAATTAATCCGTTTGAGGTTAAGAGCGTTTTGTGGGCGAAACCGTTGAACAATACGGACTGCATATTGGCTTTGATTTTACTCAAAACAGCAAAATTGAACTTAGCATTGATGTTTGGAATAACCTAAGGTTATCGCTCCTTTTATAAGTAGCAGACTGAAGCGAAAGAAAACAACGCTTTACAATGCATGTGTCAACACAGCGTTCCAGATTAATCACTGACAATATTTCCGTATGACCCCTCGGAAACAATGTGTCTTGGACATCTAAAACAGTGTCAACAATAGAACACACCTAGATTAAATTCCTGCGTCACAGGTCATGAAACATCCTGTTGTGATCAAAGTTTCATCAGATTGCTCCTCTAATCTGAACGACCGCGTTCGCACATTTCTGACTTTACTCTCTTTCGTTAATCGCAAACAAGGAAGAAAAAAAACCTGAGTCCATTTTCATCGGAATGTTACCGATGAAAATGGACTCAGAAAGGAAGGAGTCAAGGGCATCTCAAAAAAACGACAGGGAATCATGTGCTGTTCAAGTCAGGAGCAAAGAGGCAGTTGAATTCTCAAAATGAAAGGGGCAAGGAAAAACCGCGCTGCAGACCCGATAAGGAGCATCCAAGATGTTCTGCGATTAGCATTACGTTGCAAGAAAATATTTGAATTTATTAATCGCAAAAGAGCGATTTCAAACAACAACTTCGGTATATCGTCCGATAGGTGTCGAGGATATATCGATTTTCGGAAATCACGTGACCAAGTCGATGCATTCCACTTCACCATCCTTCAGGTTGTTTTTCCTTTGGATTGTAATACAATCTCGCTGGGATAAAGACTGCATAATGGAAGAAAGTGACGATGTTGTTTTGACTCTACTTACTGAGGTATACTCTAGAGGCACTACACCACAGGTAGGAAAATTTTGTAATTGAACTTTGCGCCTTTTAACTACGAAATTTGCAAGTTTGGCAGTGGCAAATAAAAGCCATCAAAACACTTCAAATTTCCTCGATTTTTGAAGCCTCAGATATAATCCTTGGTGTTATTCATGTGGTGTTTTTGTTTACTTTTTGCAGCACGAGGCCCAAGAAATTAGAAGACACCTAAAAAGGTGGCCCAATAGGTAGGTAGAAGAGAATTGCAAGAGAAATCCACTTCTTGTTATGTTTTTCTTTTTCACTGGGAGAGGTCGACTCCCTTGATGGAAAGATCTGACGTATCCATCTGCAATGAAATGTTATCGGCATTTGCGAGAGGCTTTAAATCTTTTTTCAATCTAAAATACGGTGACAGGCTCTGTGAGGATTCTGATTCAGTCTCAAAAAACATCATTATTGGTCAAGAAATATACATCTATTTCTTGACAATGCTGCAGCTCTAAGAACTATATGTAGCTCTAAAAACTTAATGCTGTTCTCTACATTTTACACCGATTAAAGAAAAATATTTTTTTCCCAGGAATCAACTTGGCATTTATCTTTCAAGATTACTTGTAAGTATAAAGCAAAAAAATTATCATTTTTACAATGTTTACTGATGTTTGAATAAAAAAGATATAATTTTTACGATCTTCAAAATGTTTTGTGATCCTCTTGGTGCCCAATCCAGCACCTACAGTTAACGAAAACTGGAGCATTACTTTCATTTACGCAGGGGGAAGCAGATGCCATCAGGAGGCACATCGTTACACAGCAGGACAGGTGGTAAGGATATGAAAGTTACGGATACATACACCCCTTTCCAGCCAATTAGCTTGGGAGGGTAACTTACACCACTTGGTGTAACTGAGCGTAAGTGAACTATTTGAAAGACAAATTATTTCCCTTTCTCGTCTCATAATCCTCAGTACAAATACTAACCACTTTTTTTTTTTTTTTCAGGAACCCTTATCCATCATTTTTGAGACGGCATGTGAGTGTGAAAGAACAATTAAATGATAGTAGAGAAAATTCATCACAGTTTGTTTTCATCTTACATATGACTAGAACTATCACGATTAGCCTAATACGTTCACAGTGTCGATGCAAGTGACTGGTCTGTGAATATGAAGAATTAAACTTCCTTTGACTCGATTGCAGAAAATTTAAACATTACTGTTACCGTTACCATTTTAAATTTGTTTTGATTATGATTCAGTACAGTAACTTTTTTGCCATAATGAGTAAAACTTAAATTGTGATAACAATAACAGAGGTTTTGGAAGACCCATGAAAAACCAAACGGCTTTTTAACAATTAGCTCCCTCTATCAAATATTTAGAACCGTTCTAAAAGTGAAACTGAGACAAAGTAAAGAGCAGAGTTGGAGTAGGACAGAGCTAATGTTTTTATTAACTGTTTATATTTTTTCAAATCAGACTTTAGCTTAAGAGTCGAAAAATTAAAAATAAAAGTTGAAGATAAGAGTAATGTTTTAATGTTAGTGGTAAAAGAGAGTATCTGATGCATTTCTAAACTGCAGAGCTCAGAGAATGAAAGAATGTGTGACCTTGAAAACACACAGAAAACTAATCCTTACTTCATATGAACGTTTCCTGTGTCTTTCGAGAAAGCACTTCGCTTCCGTGGCTCCTTAGCAAAAGTGGTATTTCCTCTCCACTTTGTAACGAGTTATGTTTTCTGCTTCTTCTTAGGCCGAGGCTGTTGGGATAAGAGCACAAGTATTGAGACATCATCAAATGAGGTGGGGACATCTTTGTTTCATTAGAATATGGTGAGCAAATAACCCTTCTAAGTACTTCCACTTTCCTTTAGTTAAAAATATACCGAGTCATTGCCGACCTAAAGCCCTGATAACTAGAAGCACTGCAGCGACACAAAGGCTCATAATAGTATTTTTTCCAAAGTAATCAATACATAGTAAATAAAAATCTCAAATTAAAAGCTAAAATATAGGGTTATCTTGAACACCAAATTAATAATCATGTAACAGCCTCTCAGAGCTTCATGCAAAAGTAAGGTAGCCCGATGTGATGTCTTACCACAAATTCGGAAGAAACGAAGTATGCTAAAAGTCAGTTTAATTTGCAGTAACTTGGAAAATTTTGTTATAAAGGAAAAACAATGGTTCAGCTCAACCGATCATTCCTCTCGCAAGCTCTTGGGCGTGATCCATGAGGAGAAAACTAACTTAGATTCCCCTCTGTATGGTATTCCATACCTCTATAAAAAAAAACCTTCAAAATAATCCATAACTGACTTTCTGCATAAAATTTGGCGAAAACAAATAACAAAAGAACGTCTGCATCAAATTCAGTCTCAAAAGGCAAGTATCCTAGATTGAGGAGTAGTTAATATCCTGTCATCTACATGTAAAGGAACTAGGAGAAACTGTGTGCTGCGCTGTTTACAATGAAAAACAAAATCAACAAAAAACTCTTGCAACCTCAAAGTGATTCGAAACTATGAGAGAAGATAGAAATAAAAAAATTCATTTTGAATGTCAGACTTATTTATGTTACTTCTTTTAACCAGGAACCATCAAGCCGCTGTCTCTCTTTCGACAGTGTCTGTAAGTAACATCAACTGACTAAAGTGCACATACGAAATTTCCTTAATGAAATCTGGACGTTACTACATAAATCTAAATATACTCATGGCCCTTTATTGCATATGTGAAAGGTTGTCAAGAAAGGAGTGTCCACCTAGACAGAACTTGTTTCACATTTTTCTTAGTCTGACTTTTATAAAGGTAAATTTGACGATTCCTTTGTTCCTAGGATGAAGCAGCTAAAATAAGACACCATGTGCTCCATTCTCATCAGATAAGGTATGGATTTTTTTCTTAAACAGTATGAATTGCTGGAGCCCTCTAATAGTATAAAAAAAAAAAAGAAGTATAACACTGGCTGTCATAACCTCTTATTGGAATTCAAAATAAGAGGATCCTGTCCAGGAGCGTGTAGAGTAACAACTGACCCGAGAAGGTTGAAAGGGCAGCCAGCTACTGCCAAGCATTCAGTCTCGTAAAACTTGTTACACCATCAGTCCTGAATAATCTTAAGACCAGCGAAAAAAGGTTTTGGTTTTAAATATAAAATAACAAGTGAAATCATTATAAAAGGTAATTTTGAAATGTACGATCAAGAAGTCCAGATACGGATACTTTTTAGTTAAAATGGTTTTAAATCAATACCCCTCTTTAACCAGCTACCTGTTGCGTAAATGGATGTTGTTGGGAAATCAGTGATAAAACAGCTTACAAGGAGATTAAGGTCTTTTTGCTTATCGGAACAAAATTAACGTATTTTGGGTAAATCAGCCTTCTTCATGACTATAGCTGGAATTATCCACTTAAGTTGAATTGTGGTTATTGAGGTCAAATATGAAAATTCCCCTCAGAAGTCAAAGCAATTTAAATTAAGACCAGATACTGTATTACTATCATCAACTTAAAATACGTATTCCGAAATTCTGTTCACTAGGGTCCCTTGTTTTCTCGACAGAAACCAAAAAGATCGTTCCAGAAATAAAGAAGAAGTAACTAGGTATAAACCATTACTGTATTGTATCTAAGAATCAAACACCAGTTCCTACTCATTCACGTAAGACCTCCTAAAACCTAAATCAAACCACAAAACTTTCCTTTGGGGAAATATTTATTTCAGCCACCGAAAAAAGATAGTAACAGCTATTTAAAGGTATATTTTACCATTCAGTAAGTGTTTCTTTATTTTTATTTCGTTTCAAGATGTCAAAAGCCAATTCTCACCAATGTCTGCTTCTCCTAAATGGTTGCCACATGCAGAGATTTTCGAAATTCCTTGACTTTTCCCTAACGATTTGAATTAACAACTTTACGAATAAGCGCTCTGGTGAAATTCGCTAACTTTTCCCTGATCTTGAAAAATCTTTTTTTTCCTGTCCATTTTGCTAATTTGAAGAACCCATTTAACCCAAGAGCTGGAGCAAAGATTGCCCATATTTACCAACCTAACCAATGCATGTATGCCTACTTAAACTTTCCCAGCCAAGACATCCCACTTGTTTAGCCAAACTGTCAAATTCACATTAAAAAATGCCATAGCAGATTTTTATAGTCTGTGCCATTATTTTACCTCTACGCAACAGTTTTCATCAACATGAGTCATATTTGATAGTTGAAATTTTGTCAAGTGTAACTCCAGTCAAATAAAGTTCATCAATTATCATTGTTATCAAAATTATTTTCATTATTGCTTTGCCTATTACTACATGAAAATGATTATGATTTCTGTTACTATCCTCATCATCACCATCTTTACCTGTACAAACATACAGACACTTTATTCGTCTTTTTCAGAATACAGCTACATTGTACACCTACACACCCAACTGCTCATATAGAATATACTCATTAGGAAACTGTGAGTCATTTTAACTGTACCATCATGTCTACCAAATCAGGTTTACGTTGGATACCTAATGAAAAACATATTCTCACTTTTCTTTATTCATTGCCTGGCAGATAGATGGCATGTGAACATGAAACACTGCTTATTTACTGACAATCACTCTGTAGAACCTGATATGTTACTCGATAAATTCTCTCATGTTATTGAATAATTTATTCCCTGTTGTGAAAAGAGGATCTTTAGATGTCTATATATTTTATTTTGTACACAACTTTCTTGGTTTGTAAATGATAAAAAAGGAAAAGTAAAAAATGATTGCTTTTGCTTTGGTTTTGCTACCCTTTACCCTCCTGGTATGGAGGTAGATCTCATCCTGGACTGTTCAGTTTTATATGCTACTGAGCCTAAACAGATCGTAAACACACTCTTACACAAGGCTTCATTTTCTCTTAGTTCCAGTTCATTAACAAAAATATCATGACTTCGGATAAAGTAATAGAGAGAGTAACAGCAACCGTTTTAAACTGAGGTGCTCCTTCCTAACGAACCATCCCCTCTCCCCCAGTCGGGTTACTTCTTATTATCAAGCATTTTAGACTTGAACCTCTGGCTCAGATGTGTAGGGTGACCTTTTCCTACAATTTAACATTGACAAATTGATTGACTAATTAACCGTCTTCTGAAAAAAAAAAATGGCAGTCTGAGACTGCATGTGGCTACTGATCTAGCGCAATCTTTACAGCATTGAAAAGAGCTTGAGGTTGTATAATGACACTAGAAGGTAGCGTTGCACGATATTTGTGTCACATGCAAAACTGAAAACCTGCTGCGTCTCACATATTTATGAGTACCCTGTTCCAGTAGAGAAAGATGATTCAAGAATATAGTGACTAATCGACATTCAAACATTAATTAAATGGCAACAAATAATCATAATAGTAATAATAATGATAATAATAATAATAATGAGAAAAATGACAACAATAGTAATAATAATATTTTATAGGGTTAGCTCTAGAATCTCAATGTTCTTCTATCTTCAAGGCTCCAATAAATGATGAGAACATGCTTGCTATAATCTCGCCTGTTAATAATAAATTATCTTCTTATCCCATTACAATTCCATTTTTGTGAGATTTTTGTTTCATACTACAAAGTACTCCGCGTTTTAGGATATTCAGCCATTCCGTGGAAAGGATCACACTGTTAAAACTCTAGGAATCGTATTTCGGACCTTCCTTGCTTCGCAAATTTAGCGGCTCTTTTGGGCATTAGTCGCTGAAATAGTAAATGCTCTCTCTTTGAATGAAAAAATTTATTCCTCATAGTTTACGATGTACAAATCACACTTACTTGAATATTTCTGCAAGGAAAAAGGGGGTAAGTTCCTAAAGAAACTGTGGTGCTGCGTCGGTGGGGGTAACAAGGTAATTTGGTAATATCAACTAAGTTGAAATTGTAAATTAGCCACCATAAAGAGATAAAAAGCTGACGTTTCGAGCGTTAGCCCCTCGTCAGAGTGAATGACGAAAGGCTAACGAAGGGCTAACGCTCGAAACGTCCGTTTTTAACTCTTTACGGTGGCCAATTTACAATTTCAACTTAGTTGATATTACCAAAGTACCTTGTTACGATGAAACGATAAATACTTATCTTTCTTGCCAAATTGCCCACTACTACTAGCAATTTAACTGTGCACCTGCCATAATGGATTCTCTTGGTGCGATTCACGGATTTCTTAATACCGCAAACCATACCTTCCAATGAACCAGTGCGTGTTCTGATCCAAGAATAGTTTCAGAAGCTACCGTAAGGAAGTGCCATCGTTCTTCGATAAATCGTGCCACACTTTTAGTTTTTACCAAATAAGAAAGGGTAATCACACGATTCCCCAGTACCATGAATTGCACGAGATAAATCATGTGATGACGTAATAGTAACATACATATAAACATTTGACCCTGGGGTCGAAGATTTGAGAAGCTGTTTTCTCAATCAAGATGGGTGTTTCAAACCTTTTAAAAATTACACTATAAACCCAACAGTTTAAGGGAAAAATTGGACCGGTTAGGGTGCCAGGACATGCACCTCTATTCTTTAAATTTTGATTGGAAATATGGTTTCGTACCTTGTTTCCTCAGTAACCAAGCTTTTCCCTTCCCACTTTTCAATGCCTTTTGTCATAGCATACTTAAACTATGGTCATAGCCTCTTGACAGGCCCAAGAGTTCCAAACCTTGGTCAATAATTTACGCTTTGTTGGGCGTTTACGTCTTTTTGCTTCCTCCGTCAAACTCTAAATTTCTCCTAACTTGTCCGCCACGTTGTTTTGTTGCGCTTTCGCGTAAATGAAAATTAAATTCTTGAACTCAAGTTCCGGTTCAACTTTCTGTTCTGTTTCATTGGCTATCATTGGCTAAGACCACTGACGTGATCTTAGCCAATAGGCCTTTAAGTTTCATAATTCAGTTTCGTTGCTCACTAGTTTCTAAAGTGTCACACTAAAATAAGACAGCGCTCATTTATAGTTTCTTTTTCATACTAGGCAGGTTTTTTTAAAATTCAAGTTCACTCATAGTACCGAAAATAATGAAAAAAAACTTGGGCGCAATAAGGATTTAACCAAAATTTTCGGACAGAATTTCCGAGTTTATGTGCTAGAGAATGGATCGCGATCTCTGACCAGTCTCGCTCCAATCGCTTATCAAATTTCGTGCTGTTTTTTTGCAAAAGGCCAATGACACGTCTCCGTTGTTTGTATAGGTAATCGGAAGATTAAGTCAGCACTTTTAAATTTTTTTAAAGGCTAAACAAATTGAACGATCCTGTAGGGCGAGTTCAGTTTGAAGTCTTTGAAAAATGTATGACTGCTGATTCATCCCAAATTGCACGAGAAAAATCCTGTGATTACTAGTTAATAATATACAAGGAAAATGTGACTCTAGTTTCCGCTTTAGCTGTTTCGGCCGCTTGCCTTTGCCTCGTTGCCTGAGTAATCGTAGATTTCCCTCAAGAACTTTCTTCAAGTTTTAAACTCTCTATCACGAATAATCAAACGTTAATACTCTCTTACAGTAACAGTAGACAGCTGTAACTACCGTCTTTCGTAAGAACTGTTGCGTAAAACTCGAGAATTTTTTCAGCGCCTCCAGTTCATGCCGTTGTTGGAAGCTCAAAACTTTCAGGCTTTAAGCCTGTTGTTTTTCCTTCGTCGGATTTTTGTTTTAAGAATTCTCCCTGAAACTCTATGAACATTGTGACCTTCTCCTCACTTTTCCGCCATTTGTTTTGTTGCACTTCCGCGACTTATTTGTCAATCAATTTAATTTCAACTTTCTGCACTCAATTTTAACTTTTTGCTCTCAATTCCAACGTTCTGCAATGTTTGGAATTAATTCGCGTGTTCTCGGCGTGCTGAAATTTTTGCAAGCTTATTGTTAGTTTTGGGATTGCACGAAGATTTCAAGTTAAGAAATTACATCACGAGCGATGATGATGACATTGCTGTGTTTAGTACCATGACTTAATGCGATGAAATTTAACTATATAAAGTGGAACCTCGATTTAACGAACCTCTATATGACGAAGTCCTCGCTATAAAGAACGATGCATTTCACCCCGGCTAAAGTACAGTAAAATGTATGCCACAGAACCTCGATATAACGAAATCCTGGTTACGACGAACACAATCCAGAAGCCCAAACGTATACAGATACCCCGATCATGATCTAACGAACAAATTTCAACACCTGACCAAAGAAAAATGCGAAACAGACCAACAGCGCAGCACTATGTAGTCGTGTTCCGTTGTTTAATTCTGTATAGACTGTTCATGTTCATTCTGATACTTGACGCGCTCTTTTTTCTTGAATGAAACGCCGCGCGTCTTTAACGAAAGACAAAATATGACGCAATTGGAGAAATTTTATGATCAAGCGTCTTGATTAGCAATTTTAGCAGTGAAGTAAAGAATGACAAAAAATGAGGCAATTTTCGTTGGAAGAATTTTTGATTGGGCGTCTTGATTGGCAATTTTAGTAGTAAAGTAAAGTGGTTTTCTTTTGTTTAAAGTTTCTGTTCGGTTGCGCTATTTATTAACCTTTTCGTTATGACATTTGAGAAACCAGTTGAAATTGTTAAAATTTTGTTGACCCGTTTAGATTCCAGTGCTGTAGCTATATACAGACCTGTATAGAGTACTGTAACTTCATATAGACATTACGCAAAACGTCACACCACACACACACAAAACAATAACAACAATTATCAACCCTTAGCTATTCGTTAAATCAAGGTTTCATTGTATTGCGGTGAGCACAGGTGTTTTACTTCAAATACATTCGATGGTAAAAGATTAAAAAGTTCACGGTTGGTTTATTATCTTTTAAGTAACAAAGGAATGACACAGCTGCTGAGAACGACCTTCTTGACACTACTCCCTAGGAAGACTTAATACTGGTAAGAAGTAACCAGAGACGGTTCTTTACAGTGTGAGACCGATACAAAAGCATCATCTACTCCTATGACTAGTTATAACTACTTTGCTGTTTCAAACTGTTCGTGGCCTTTTTAGGCTTTTTGTTTGGAGTTAGGTCAATTCAGATAAACGAGAAAAAGAAAACAATTTTTTTGAAAAGGCAGTAACATACAAGCACGTATGTTATTTGGTTCCATTGAAATTTAAAAGGTAGTTTCAACTTATCAAACTTGTCTAGAGAGCTTGTCTAACGCTGAGCAGAAATATTGACCAAAGTCTCAACTATATATCTCATGAAACTACCAAAAGGTATCTAAACAAAGAATGGAATGACTATGGGAAAACAGTAAAATAAGAACACTCTCTTTGCCAAATTGAGGAGGCACTGCTAAATAGGACTAAATATTAATTCGTAGCTAAATTTGCACGAGGAAACCCCATTTCTCGACTAGACACCTAGTAACAGTAATTTAAGTAAACATTGAACCAGTATGTTCAACAGCAAGATTGTACAGCAACTCTCGAGATGACAAAAGGGAAGAGTGGCGCCAAAAATAAAATGCCTTTTAGAATACTTTCCATTTCTTTCATGTTCTAACACTTCTCCGATTGTATCACAAATCGCAAGACATAACATAACAACTACTACGTCAACTAAAAAATGAACAATTCTATAATTTGATCAGACTTACCCCTACCGATGCCAGAGTAAAAACTTGACCATAACATTTACAAGAAGCCTGTGGTAAAGCAATCGACAGCATATTTTTGGGAGACTCGCGGTTTTTGCTTCAACACGGATTTATTCGCTCTGTTGGCGAAAAAAAGAATTGCGCCACTTAAAATCGGAGAATTAATATTTCAAGAGTAAAGGTCTCTGAGTTACTCTGTCATGCTCAAAGGAATGATTTATTCCTCGTGTTCTTGACGTGCGATCTAATAATCAACAAGCCACAATGCCTTGCGGCGCTGAAAGGCCACGTGTTTCAAAAAACGAACCCGCAACTCGGGTAATCAGTATAACTCCACTCAGGGCTCCAAGCTCAGCTTTTTTCAAAGATGACGAACTTAATTCATAAAAAGGTCGCCAGAAATAACAGTTAGTCGCCTAAATAAAAAGAGACTTAATGCAACATCACATGACGTGCTAAACCGCTGATCACATCGCTCGTCTTTGAAGTAAGTAGCGAGGCTGGTATTCGTTTTTGGAGATTCATGCGAAATTGCTACGTTTAGGCAAACAAGGAGATATAGGTATATTTTAATAGAAGAGCACGGGAAATATTTTAAGAGAAAGTTTGTCACTTTGACCTATATCATACAAACTAAGTTATAAAAACGATGCAGCTCGCTACACGATCGCCGAACACAGGTCGCAAAATTGGCGCCTCACGCCACAAACTAAGCCGCCAGCATGTTTCCTACTCTTCATGGCTACCAAAATGGTCGCACCTTGCAACGCTGTAACACCAATGCAGAATTTATGTGTGTCAAGTGTCCCTCGTAATGCTAGGATTAGAAATATCCAAAGCGTCGTGTTTGGAAATCAATGAAGTGAGACAGCCATTTTTCTTAATATATTCATATACAAGACCTTGCTTGTGTATCATGACAGACTTCCTACTGCATAATATTGGGTGACATCACCGTTTACTTTTCTCTTTCCCTCCTATAACGAGTATCTTTTTTTTTAAATTTCCCTTAATTACGAAGCTTTCCATACAATCCAATCGAGAGAGACCAAGTTTAAAGACACAACTTGCACTTAGAATCGCCCAGAGTCTCGAGACAGTACTCCTGCAGTCTCAAGTTTGCGGATTCAATTATTACACGAGGGAAGAATCGAATGGGGGTAAAGGTGTACACTTTGGATTCGTTTACGTTCTATAAGTGGTATCAGTGGATAAACAACACTACTTATCGAACATTTTTCTAAGGTAATATAAATCTTACATCATTATGAGAAAGTGAAGAAGAAATAATTAGCCAGCTCTCACCTAGCTTTTAAGTTTTATAAATGGTTCCTAAAGTTACAAATTTCAGGTTAAAAGTTGGAGGTATTAACAAAATAAACCGCACGGACTACAAAACTGCCAGTTGCTCTAGAATAACTATGTTAGGGGCCGACCATTTAACTTTTGAGGGAGGTGGGTGATTTTGAAAAAAATTTCCTGCAAGCGCTTGTTGGAAAAAAAAATTGCATGCAGCCCAGATGCAACAGAAAAAATGTACCAAAAAACTCAGAAAAAAATATCCTGCACAGCAGATTGCTAGAT